TAATACTTGTCAGTTTCCACAAAATTAACTTAACAAAAATAGCAGACACTATTAATGGTGTGAAAAGCAACACAACATTGTCACAGCTAACTATGAATATACCGTGGGGCAAGGCAGGGACCAGAAATCCCTAAATTCCTAAATCCAAAAAGTAAAGGCACAAAGCCGAAGCTATACAATTGGAAAAGGTGTAAGAGCTAAAACCACAGAGTTTATAATGCACTACAGCTCCAGAATGAAGACATCATGATACCCAAGTGAAACTAAAACTCACTGATAAACTGTATTTCTGTATTATACATCTTATCTGTTCAACCTCAAACCTTTTATTAGAAGTTAGATTTCTTTTACTAGCATATTAGCAAATCACTTTCCAGGTATAAAGTATACATTTTCTATAAAGAAAAAGCCATCTAGTGTATTTGTATTTAATCAAATACCAACTGAGAAAAATTACCTGACCATTTTGCTTGGAGCTGGAAACTTCTACAATCAGCTGCCATTCAGAACCAGCAAGAAACTTTCAATTTGGTTCGTCTGAGATTAATTGAAGTGAATTATTCAATTATTTACTGAGTTTATTTTTAGAAGGAAAACAACTTCTACCATCTCCTCTAATGCACAGAGGAAGACACAGAGGCTTTAATGCTTGTTTATCATATTAGCTCAGTTCAGTATCAAGTTTCACATCCGCTGAAAAAACAGGCACATAACCATGGTACAAACCAGTTATTCAACTAAAAATAAAGCAATAAAAGAAACATCACAACTCCAGTGGAATAAAATATTACCAAGAAGGGAAAATTAACCTATACATGCAGAGTTTGTGTGTGCTGAAGTTAAAGAGCAAAAAGCTATTAAAAGGAGAAAGTACTACAAAATTATAAAAGGCTATTTATAGGCTTCCTGTCATGCTACTATTTAATCACACTGCTATTTATGCTTTCTCTCATGCATTTACCACCTCTAAGCAAGAATTAAACCTTGAATGTAGTTTAATCACCTGCATGTCACAGGGCTTTGAACTGTATTCACTTCTCTGCTGCTCCCAAGAACTTACTTTCATCTGGCCAAACTGATTCCCTGCTAGGACACAAGCACACACCTCCAGCCATAAACCAATGTGGGAAGGGCCCAATGGCACTGATGATTCCGTGACAGTAATCAGATTACCTCCTATTTTTCCTTGTAAAACAACCAGAGGTCTGGAAGGACCCTGTAAAAATATGTTTTCTGTCACTAAAACTGCAGTATGGTTCAAATCCTCACCTTGAGACATTTCACTGTGCTGCAGCTGAGAGCACATAGTTATGTCTCAGCCAAGAAGCTGGAGGCAAGTTCAGGTTTTGATTTTTTCCCCTAGCACAACTCTAAATGCCACTTTGACTGTAACCACAGCTCAATACAGAAGTCCATGCCACCACTTCGAATTTTCTCCAAATTGTAGTATGAAAGACTGGACCAATTTTTTTTTCTTATCAATAAAGCCTAATCCTAAGAAAACCATGCTGTCAGGGATGTTTGCATATATAGTCACTAAACTCTGAGTAAGTGTAAAACAAAAGAACTTTTATACTATATTGCCTATAACTGACATCTATTTCTTCATAGTAAAATAATCCAAGCACAACAGTTGCTCTCAGAAGAAGTCTTAATCCAGTGATTAATTTAGCTGTCTATGCCAGAGAATCATAGTACTTGCACAGAAAATAACTGTTAAAAAATAAACTTTACTGTTCAACTGTATACAGAAGAGATTGCCATGTTCTAGTCTTCAACCATCTTTTCCCACTACAATAAAGCTAAGGACATAGCACTTTTTCTCTTTGAAATCACAGGACTAAAGCTGTAGACTTGATTTAGAAGCCTTGTATGCAAACTAATTCACCTTTCAGCACACAGCAGCTTTACAAAATGCTTAGCAAAAAATCCACTTGGATCGTCTCATCCACTATATTGCAGGTAAGAGAGATTATTGTAAGAGAACAGAAGCGGTTATAGCCCCCAGGCTGTTAGAAATCAGAAGTTTGCAGGGCTGCCCCGTTTTGCCAGCAGTGAGTTCTCTGCTGCCCCAGGCAAGTGCTCAACGCCCAGCCCCACTCCTGGCTGAGCCAGGGGCTATGCAAAGCAGCAGGTTTGAATGACAGATTTTAACCAATTCCCTCAGTGCTCTCAGTTCTCCTTTCATTCTACTAAAAAAGTAGGTAATAATGCGTGATTGTGTTGGATGTCTCTCTATTTCAAATTTGTAACAAACACTGGAAGCATGTGGTAGCCTATGAAAACCTGACAGCAGAGACCCAAAGCAAGGCTTAGTGAGCTTGTCTGCAGCAAAGTGGGTACACTATAAATACTAGAAAGGAATTTCATAGTCAAAATAAAAAGGTAATGTAAATGTGCCAGAAAAAAAAAAATCTCACAATTTCCAAAAGCACACAACGAATACACACTTCAAGTAGCTGATCTACTGTTGGCAATGACAGCACAACAAAGTGTCACAGTGTAAAACTCACCCTGTATAACCCATATTTGTTATTTTTATACAAGGGGCAACATCCTGACTCCAAAGCTACTTGAGAAGCATCTCAGTTACACAATTCAATGTACTTTGATGATAGCAGACCTTCAACATTTGGTAATTCATACAACGTTTATATAGACATGCTGATCTTAAACCACTATGAAAGACAGCAGTAGCTCCTTGGTCAGAACTACACACAGAAACTGTGCTGCAGTCCTTAAATCTAGGACACAACTGCATTCTCAGGTGCAATTATGGCTCAAGCCAAATACAGTAGTGGACTTACATCAGCAGACAAGTGTCTGCCCAAGCATTTTAGTTCTCAAGGATCTCTATAACCCATACTTGCAGTGTGAACTCCTTTGTGGAAATACAAATCTCTGACAAATGAACTCTGAAATTCCTCCAAGCCTGTAGAGCCAAAAAAACTTCAAAACTCTTCACAGAAATTATCATTGTAAGTGTCCCTACAGAGAAAAAGATTTACAGAATGCACCCAAGTTTCCCAGCTTCTTATAATTTTGGTAAAAGTGAGAATAAAGATTTTTAGCTGTTGTATATAAAAGTAGTGGAAGAGAAGCTGCCAGCAAGTACAATCACCATTTCCTTAAATACCTTTCCTTTAAATCCACCATTAAACACTTTTTTCTTTTCTGCTCAACTGCCAAGCAGTCAACATTCTGGGACAGATTCATTTCTCTTTTCTAAAAGGGAACAGAAGCTACTGTGGGAGAGAAAGGAAAAAAAGCCTCCACCTCTGAAAGTACAGAACACAAATGACCATGTGTCCAGTAGTGCCCTCTGAATAACGCCAGTGCAGAGGCTGTTGATGGTCAAAGGAAGGAACATCTTGAATTCAACCTGGGGTTAGCCTGGGCCAGCCCCAAATTACAAGCAATCCTTAGAAGAAATGTCATCTCTAGATCAGGTGTAAATATTCACTGCTAGTGCTACCTTGAAAAAATGAGAAATCTTACCTGCAAGAAAAATTCAGTAAGCAAATCTCAAAAATAATGAATGAAGCAAGTTCTGACAAAAGTCTGGCTTAGTTTTACAAAAACTGTAAAAGAGCTTTCTCAAGACATTTATGTTTTATATAAAGGAAAGTGCAGTTCTAAAATTTCCCACTACAATTCTTGCTTACATTCAGAGTTCAATAAGTCACAATAAAAAGCTCAAAAGTATCAACACAGACTTGCAGAGAAATGAAAACAAATTACAGTAATGAATATTTGAGTTATTTTTATGAATACCATTAGGGTCAAAACCCAGCTCATTAAGTTGATAATATAAAAAGTACAATTTTTTCCAATATACTTTCTGGTTTTATAACAACACATGGTGTTCCTTGGGAGAACTATTCTTCCAGAAATATTTGACATAAAAAACAAGATTTTTTTGTCTTAGCAAGTATGTTGTGATTCCTGACAGAAATAACACATAACAATGGACAGTGGAGATAACACAGTTAAGCCGAACATAAAATATAAACTGGTAAGTTTATATATTTGTACATTTCAATGGGGTCCTCTTTTAAAAGTCATTAGGAATTATTAGGCAATTTAACTAATTTATTAGATAATCTTAAAATAGCCTGGCTCTTGCTCCTGTTGTTTTCCCTGGATAGGCAGGTACAAACGTGAGTCAGATTCACAGGTTGATGGTTACTGATTCACAGGTTGATGAGGTACCATGCTAAAACTACAGAGGTAACAATTTATTACTTAAACCATCAATTCTCTACCATTCACTTCCTGCAAATACTCCAGATCTCTTCCATGTATATTATTTATTTCTCAAGGCTCTTACAGTTCTTCTTCTAGGTGTTCAGTTTCCTTCATCACTCAAATCCTTTCCTACATTTTGTCCATTTCTCTAACACATTTCAACTTTCCTCTGGCTTACTTGATGCCCTCCTCCTTTGGGGTGGGCACAGAAGATGGAACAGCAACAGAAATCAGAAAAAGAATGTCCCCAAAATGCACAGAGAATCGAACAGGTTCCACCTGAAATCAATAAGAAAAACTGTAGCCAAGAGACAAGAACCGTGCCCAAGTCTGCTCCCAAGGTTAATACAGACCTGCCAGGTACATCCACAGTCAGAGTAATGGGACACATGTGTGATGCATTTTCCTGAGATGCTTTCCATATGGTTATGAGTGGAAGGGAGGGATAGCAACCTAATCACGTATGCAGTATTACCAAAAATCATTAAAAGGCTTTTAAATTTCACACATTTTAACCATGTGGTACAGAAAGATTTCCAAGCCATTACAAAAATACATTAAGAACCTACAGAGTCAAGTTATTTCACCCTACCAGTCTCCTACATACATACATTTTGACTTAAATCTGTGTTTTATTTTTCTATCATTTTCACCAGCAAAATTAAGTCAAGCTTGTAATGCGTAGGGAAAACCTCCTTCAGAAAAAAAAAAATAAATAAAAAAGACTTTCAGAACAGAAAACCCAGAAGGAAAACTGCTTAAGTACAAGTTTATTCTCAGCATGCACAAACATGTTGATAGTGACACGAGTAAGTCCAGTTAAGTTTTCTGATGCTTAAAAAGAGAAGAAAGCTTTTTATCTATCAAACTGTATTAGATATATAACTGTTGGACTTGACGGTCTTTAAGAGTCTTTCCAACCTAAAGAATTCTAAGATTCTAAGTGTGAAGGTACACTCAGATGATAAAAGACAACACTCATCTTTTCTTTACAGTGAAAATATTGTACAAAGTTCACTGAGAAGGAACAGTCTACCAACATACAAATTAACATGGCATTAAAAGGCAACAAGCTGAGTCAGCACATCTGCACTGCTCCTCGAGCACTGTGTTTAAATACTCTGTCATTCATGTGCCTCTGCACTCAGGCCAAAATGGCTTTCTTACACCTGCTTCTTTAGGCACACTTTTGTAATTAAACTCGGCTTTCCCAAACTCTTTACATCTATAGCATCCCAGAATTATAAGGCTACAGAAGAGAGACATATGGCAGGATATGGAACATGCACATTAACAAAGAAAACCAAGCAACTGGTTTCTGCTATTTTCCAAGTCTATTCAGATGGACTTTTCCCTGCTGGCAGCTCTGCAGCGCAGCCCAGGTCCCCTAGAAGGAGCTGCAAGGAGCCACAGGTGGAAGCAGCAGGAATGTTGGTCTGCAGCAAAGGTCTCTCTGAACAGTGGCACTATGCTTATCTGAGGACACAAACTCTTCCCTGTGCTCCCAGAAATGCTCAGAAGAGGTTTTTTCTGAAAATGAAGACACTAGTATCACACAAGCAATAGCCACCATACTCACCAATGAGACACAGTCACTTTCTCTCTAAACAGCAATTCAGACTTATCAGAGTATGACAGATCAGACTCAGCTCTTTTGAGTCTTCCATTCGGGTCTTTCACTGCAATAAGTACTTTAAATTTGAACCTTAGGAAATTCAGTACTTTCAAAACTGCATTGGTATACTCCATTTGTAACACGCTTCCTCTTAGCAAAGATGTACAGGACAGCCCAGAATAACAAGGCTCACCAAGTGCAGAGCACCAAAACAAAACCACTGGCTTCTTAGTTCAGTTTTCCCAGTTATGTCTTCTCTGAAACAATCAGTGACAGAGATGAACAAGCTTGCCATATTATAAAAAAGCAAAAAAACTTCAACCCACAAAAAGGAAAGTATTTTTCTCTCATTGCAGATTAAACCTAGGAACAGCCATAGAAACTACATTTTTTAACTGAATAAAAAATGAGATCTGAAGCCATCACATTTGCATTATGATTATGCAGAGCACTCTGTCTAACAAAGTCCAGAGTGAATTGATCCTTCTGAACTCCAGTTACCACACCAGCAGCATTAGCAATACTGACTTCAGAACAAGTACACTGGAGTAAGCGTGTGTTGCCATGGATAAACACATATGGAGTAGTCACCTAGGTACAACCATGCAGCTGTTGAAATGGTATAACAAGAGTTCAAGAGTCTCAGAACTGTCAGCACACTAACACCAATGATAATGTACCATGAAATTGTTAATACCTTCTGTGGAAAGATGTGACAACACACAATTGTTCCCTAGATCACAGGAAGCAGATCCTGCTGACCCATGACTGGAAATGTTTTGGTAGCTCCAGGAAGTGGCAAAGAGAGTAAAAAAACAGATCAATGAGCCCCTTCACCATCCACTAGAGGTTTGCCAAGTTTTGGTTTTGTCCACTGCTATAAGAGGTCTTCTCCCCAGAAGTCAGTCTTAGGAGGTCCAAGGCTGGAGCCTGTGAAACCAAGGAAAAAGTGATGCAGCACCAGATGGATCACACAATCACTGAACTGAGGCTGCCAGGAATATGCACTGCCCATGGAACAGTGGGTGGCCAGTGCCATGCACCATGACTCCTTCAGCATTAGCCGATGGCAGGGTGTCTCATGCTGAGGAGTATCTGAAGGGTCCTTCAGTTCTGACTATTCAGAGGAGAGAAATGTATCAAGGCTTGTCCTTTCCAGATGCAGAAACTGTTGTCAGGATGCTCTGGCAACTTCTTAAGAATGATGAGTATGATGATGAGTACATCACAAAGAGAGACAATGGTAAAGAGTTTAGTACCACCACATTATGAAAAGTAGTTCCCATTCTCCAAGAACCAGCACAGCATGCTTATTTACCAGGTCACCCAAAAATATCTGAGGAAGCTTCTCAGCAGCTAAGAGTATGAAGAATCTACAATGCCTATCTGAGAATTTTCTGTTCTCAAATTCTGAAAGCTAGAGCCCAGAGAGCAGAAATCCCTGTTATTTAACACAGAATCAGCAAGAAGCTTGTGTCTACTACTGACAGGCAGGCAGACTGCTATAAGCTATTCTGATTCCTCATGAAGGATGTAACATAAGCATTATTAAATAACAGACATGTCCATCTGTCCTCTGGAAGTATATAAAGAGAAACACAAATTAGAATTTCTTCACAGTCTTAGATCATCCGCCTTTCTGTAAGAAAATCTGCTGAAAAAAACAGAGAGAAATGAAAAGGTGCCAACTAGACTGAACAAGTGCTGACAGAGCTCATGAAAGTGCAGAAAAATCTCATCTAGCTCTCAAGAAATCCAAAATAAGTAGCTCAAGAACATCTACATCCAAACCTACAGCTTATGCATACTTTGTTGCAGGCTTTGTTTTTTAACAGATATAGAGGCTACACTAGCTGGACATCTGTCACATGGTGGTCACTATGGCAAAATAACTCAAAAAATCTACAACCAGCCACTAATATTTTTGCCACTATATATTCTATTAATTCGCTTTGTAAGATTATTGTAATACTCCTCTGAAACATGATATGGGAAGATGTTGGTAGCTGGAGCAGGAGCAGCCATGCCACCATTACATAGCAAGTTTTAATACCACTACAAATCTGGTTCTTACATCTCATCTTGCAGTTACATGGACTGATGAATTTTTAGTCTCAACCACAAGGGATGAGAAAAGTGTTAAAATTGTAGGTGTCTGAACATTTATCTAAAATTCACTGTTGTAGTTAGCTTGTTTTCCTGTTTTGTTGGCTTCACTAAGAAGTTTCTTTCCATTTTCTATTGAATATTATTGAAAGTTTAAGCAAATAAAAAATTGCTTTCCAGAGCAACTATATCAGAGTTTAAGATGATCAGAGAGCTATTACTTAAATCCCTGTTTTCAAAACATTTACAGACAAAAACACAACATCTATAGAAAGTATATGAAATCTAGGAATGCAACAGGAAACAAATAGCTGAACATTTGCCAGTAACGTTAAGGTAAAGAGAACACAACCATTGTCTCCACTTGCAGCAGATCCAGGAAAGTATTACCTGAGAAATCTGAGAGCAACTCCTGAATGAAGATCATGCCTTCCTTTCAGCTGGGAAAAAAGAACAGTGTTCAAGGGCTTATGGAGAAGAGTAGGCAGGAAGATCCATGTTATCAGCAGGTACCAGCGATACAGAACTGATACAGGCTAGAAAGACATTACACAACTACTGAGAATAGGAGGAAGGCAATGGAAAGAGCTCCCAGAGGAGTGCTGCCAGCCTCATGATATGGGCATCAGATCCCCAAGCATACACATAATAAGGCCACAGGATATTTTGGGAGAAGATCTAGAGAGGAACCCGCAAAATGTCATATTTATTTACACCTTATATGCCACAGACAGTTTGCTTTCTATTTCCAATTTGGGATTATACTTCAAGACATTGGAATTTGGTGGTTCACTTTCATCAGGGCAGGGCATCCATTCCTGGTATTAAACTTTGGAAAATGACCTATTTACTGAAAAAACCCAATACTGAATGGTCATGTGCAGCCTGAGTGAGCTCATGTCTGTTTCAGTGCATTTAACTCAGATTCTTGTTTTACTTCATAGCTCAATCTTTGAAAGAACCAAACATTGATTTGTTTGTATAGAAACAAAAGGAAAATTACAAAGTAAATAACTGGGATTATGATAGCCAGAAAGCAGGCATGGACAAGACAATGAACTATAGCTCATATGACTGACCAGAGATTAACTAATATCACTACTTTCTAAAAGGTTGTACACATAAAGCTGCAGAAATTGTCTCCATGGTGTTCATCACCCTGTTAAACAATGCCACTTTTTCTGTCATTTTTTTCCAAATAAGTACAGGAATAGAGGGAACATAATATACATGAATTTTTAAGAACAACAAAAACATACTTCCACATTAGCTGAGACATTTTGAGACTTCAACAAATGTAGACACACCATTGTGTGGTGTGGAACAAGTCTATTTACATGGCAGCATGCAGAAATGGATTTAGAGGAGAATACATATTTTTGTGCACTTTAACCTAAGTTCAGGAAAATTATTGCATTTGCAGGTAACTTAAATTCAGATGTACATTTTACCATTTCATTATCAGTTTAATATCTGTAGAGTAAAACTAACATCCCCCAAGAAACACAGAAATGAGAAAAAAACCAAACACTTTCATGCTGCTTGTTAATAACTTTGCAAAGTAATGAAGTGCATCTCTGCAGACTTAGGAAAAAAAAGGGATTATTTAGTGCATTTGTTTGCCTAGAGCATCTTGTGATTGATTTCAGGGATATGAAATACTTTGTTGTCAAGATATCCAGTCACTGCTGGAAAGACACTATGAAAGCATAGGTTAGGTTGCATTACATTTTTTTTATTTACCAATGATTCTACCAAAATGGTTAAAGTTTTTCAAATTTCACAATAATCAGGTACCATAATGTACTGATTTGGACAACTATTGGTTTAAATAATTTTTTTTAACTTATACATATCTAACCTAAACAGCTTATCAGTCTAAACATCATTGTAATTATTTTCTGGGTATGTACAAATGACAGTACAGGTTTAACTAATGATGTCCACACAAATTATTCAAATAGGAGGTTTTCAACCTATTGTGAGGGAAACAGGCTCCACCTCCTGTGCACACTGAGAAATGGAGGCTTTCTATTGATGCTGTTATGGATCACTTATTCTAAGAAAGAGATGAACAAGGAGCTTTGAAAAATATAAGGGGGAGAGGTAGAGAGGTTAAAGAAAAAAGTAGCAGAGATCAGGATTTCTAGAAGTAGGATGTGACAATATCGCAGACAACTAAACTTTACTCTGACAAACTATTTTGACATAAACTGGCAGTGTTAGCTAACACAGCATCCCTGACCCACTCCTGAGTCTGGCCTCTTCCTTCCAGCCTTGCATCATCCTCTCCCTACTGCTGACATAGCCATTTGTACAGCCATATGGTAAACCAGAGTGGGGAAATAAGAAGCAACACAATTTTGGCAAAATTATTCTTCAGTCAGACCAATTCCCCAATACGACTCACTGTGCAGCAGCAAAAGCACTACAGCAGCACAAGGAGGGCAGCAGGTGGCCATGAAGAGAGGAAGGCTTCCTTCGTGGTCAAAAAAAGGAAAGCAGTAAAGGTATTAGTATCCAGCCAAATAAATATCATTCACTCATCCATTTTGTTAAAAGAAAATGTTTAAAGAAAAGAACAAATGGGTGGAAAATGGTGAAAAGGTGAAGAAAATGTGAAGGTAAATTCAAAACTGAAGCTTTCAACTGTGTATTTCCTGAATCTGGGGCAGAACAGAACCAGATCAAACAGGATGATAACAAGAATCATCAATGGGATTTTTTTTTTAATTATGAAGCTAAAGCAAGCATTTTATGTGATGAAAAAATCTAAGAAAGTGAGCAAAGTAAAAAGGAATTAAAAATGGTGGCAAATGGAATGGAAGGAGATGAAAGTTCAAAAACAGAGGAGCAATCACAAAAAAGGCAACAGCACATTCTTCCTTGAAGCATTGAAGACCAGAAATTTCATGTATTCCCAACCATTTCCACAGCTACTTATGGACTATCATAATAAAAGTACAACTTTATTAAAAAAACAAAGCACACATCAAACCTGTTAATTTCCATACATCAGGCTGAAATAATGCCTTTCTTTTTATGTTTATCCAAATCATCTTAATATATATACACCTGAAATTATTGCATCATGTCCCTACTTACCTGCTACAGACCTCCCTTAAAATTTCCTGCATTATTTAGGTCCCTTTCACTGCCAAACACACAAGGACTTGCATACAATACAGCAAATAATGACAATGAAGAATCATTGGGAAGAAACAAGTGGCACATGATTTGTTTTGTGGTATCCAAATCATTAATTTGTATCTTGTTTCAGGAGGTGCCAGGGGAAAGATTAAGACTATAGTCTTAATGCAGGCAATTCTGAAAAGGTCAAATTTCCCAAAACATTATGAAATTTCAGTGATAAAATGCAGCCAAAGACATAACATGACAGAGGTGATGGAGATTGACAGTAAAATACTCTAAAGGGCTCCCTGTACTGTTTCATCTGAAGGTGGTGCAATGTCTGGCGTATCAAACGAAAAGGAATAGTAGTTACCAATGCAGATGACAGGGGAAGTTTTATCGAAGCTGTACTTAACTACAAAAAGAAACTGAACAGAATATGCCCTGAAGTGCTAAATCTGACCTAAACCCCTATTTTTGTTTGTGCATTAAAAGGTCTTCAAAAGTACAATGTGGCTTAATACAATCCATAATGAGCAGCAAGACTCACCCTACTATGTCTGTACTGGTAAAAGACTTGCATAGAACCTGGTATTCGCTGCACTTTCTATCTTCAAATTTATATACTCAGTAGGCGTTCAAAAGAAATATCTCCTTTTATCCAATGATCTCAGAGTTTTACTGGGAAACTATTTCTCTTTTATAAAGGAATAGAACAAGATGCAGAAAACCAAGTAATTTGCCTGTCATTACACAGTGAGTCAGTGGCAGCAGCCCACACTGGTCATACATCTCTTGCTGTTCTTATCAGGTAGTGGCATTAGAATAAGGTCTTTTATAATAGTTACATCCATATGTATCAACAACATGATCCTCACAATTTCAAATTTATGCTCATTCTTTCTTTTGCTCAGTAAATGAACACTAAGCTTATACAATGCACTCTATTTAAAATATAACACATTAGTGCCTTCTTTTCTCAGTCCAGTATTTCTTTGACTGAAAGATACCAGAAATGCTTTTGTGTTTGGGTCTACCATGAACATTTAAAAATAGTTAAATATTCTACAAAATAAATGTTATAGCTATGAGTAGCTACATGTTAAAACCCCACAAACCTAGGAATGGATTTATAATCAATTGTATGTGGCTACATCAAGGAAGGTTCTCTGTATACAGGACACGAGTCTGATAGTCTCCATGTTATTCATCACTGTCAGGACTACCGAGTTCCGGACCTTTTATCTGATCCAAGAGTGCACTCCCATTCTTATCTGCAGCACGTGCTGTGCCAGCCCTTTTGATGCAAAATTTTTCTCCCTGTGGTATGAAAAGTGACTAGTGCATGAGGGGTGGGGGGAATGATGATGACAGTACAAATGAACAAGAAACAGTAACACATAAACAAAAGATGAATTGTTAGAAAAAAGGTTAATTTATGCAACTCTAAGAAAAAAATCTCCTCTAGTTAACAAGCAATTCTTAAAACCCACAGAACTTGGCATCAATTCTATGATCCCTTTAGCATATCATCTTTGGCACACAACCACAGGAAAGGTTGGATTTTATCTTCACCAATGGTTTTGGCAGACCTTTCCAAAAAGAAAGACTGTTGTAATTGGTGCTAATACATTTTCCTACAACTAGTCTCTGCAGCAGAACTTTCACATAAGTTTCTTACTGCACACTCAGTTTCACCATTTGCCAGAATACTGATAGAGTCTAGACTTTTAATTCATGATTTCTCTTGTCCTGCACACATCCAAGTCAAAATAGATAAACTCATATTGGAAATAATGATTGCCACTTTTGCCAATGAAAAACAAATGCTATTCTAAAGTATGGAAATACAGGGGTTGTACTATGAAGAGCTTCATGCCAGTGCATCCAACATAACTGGCTTGCAGCTTTCAGCTCAGGCAGCAGGGGGTGCGTAGGCAAGGCCAAGTTGATTATGTAGCTGCTTGATACATCTTATCCCACCTGAAAATGCCATGCAACTGTACAGGGACAGACTCCAAACACCTGTTGTGGGTAAAGAAGAAAACCACCAGCAGCTGAAGGACGAAAGCAAGCAGGATCAGCTCCTTCCTTTCCAAATATCTGTCATTATTGTCTCTTTCAAACAGATATTTAAATGTAGCATCCTGGATCTTGAACCCTTGCGTGATTGTTTCTGCTGCACCATGCCAATCAAAAAGCTATCAATCCACACCAGGAATGAGCACACACCCCCATCACACTCTGGTGACAAAAGATCATGACATGTACTGAGATGGTGGCACTGGATTGGCAAAGGCAGCTGGATGAAACAATCTCCCTCCAGGAACGCTGCAGGCTCCCACAGGTGTGGGGAGCAGCCCCACCTGTACACATGCTCTTAAGTTTCTGATGTATGAATACAACTCTTTTAAGTTGCCTGTGAATGTATACATTCCACTGAAAAGCCAAAGCATGCAAAACATTTAGAAAAATTCTATTTTTAAATGCACTTTGGAATCTGCATGGCCACAGATAACCTTGTTTCACAGGATGTGCAGTGCTCAAGGGATAATACAATAATAGCAGGCAATATAGAAGTGAGAAGAGCCGAAGGGACATGGGCTTAACTATGCACGGCTAAGCTAACATCTTCTGGAAAGTGACTACCTGGCATCAGTGTAGGTCTTGGAACAGTAATTGCTACAGAAGAAAAATATTTATATACAGTAGCCAATGTTTAATTGGGCACAGGGAAAGGAGAAGGAATACCCCTATATATTTTTAGGTGTACTTGTCTATTAGACAACTTAGTTAGCTATAGGTTACAAATTGAAAGAATTTTCAGAGAGCAATGTTTTCTTTCTAAAATGAAAACTGACACTGAAAAAATATTTTACTTTCCATAATGTAAGTTGTAAGTACTTAGGAGTCCAAGTCAAGGAGTATAAGTTTTTAACTATCACATTACATTAATTAATTTCTTAATTGTTCAAATATTATGTTCCATACCTATTGATATTTTCTGCTTCCCTCTATTTTTATACATGAGATGTTTAATACACATAAAAAGACTCCACAAAATCTTTCCTCAAGAAATAAAAAGGCCTCCTCCAAAAGATCAAGGCAAGTGGCTTCAGATGTTCAGCTTTCAATCCAGAATAATAGAAGAAAACTATTTTCTGAAAACATGAATTTCCTTCATAAGTTTGGACAATTTCTTTACTCCGTCAAGCAGGCACAATTCACTACAAAAATACCAAAATTGCATACAAGGTGGCTATATACCAATTCTGCTTAAAAAGATCTTAGAAGGTAAGTGGGAAGGAAAGAGAATATTTTTAGCCGGTCATAAGATACAAATATAAACCAACTATGTGATGCTGTTGTAGACAGGGAATTCCTCAGATGAGGATATGGAGTCAGGCGCACAGCCCACAGGACAGATGAAGGTCCTTTCTCATGACCCTCAGTATTGCAAAAATGGATTTTTGTTTCAAGCTTCCTAAACCAGATGCAGGTCAAGTAAGAACAGTCAAGAGACTGTTCCAATACCAAGCACTACCAAAATGAAACACCTGAAAAGGCACAAAAATAAACCAGAAAGAATTCAGGTTACTTCATACAATACTGCAGAAAATTGAATGCATTACAGCTTTCAAGCACTTTGAAACAAAATTTTTATCCATATATCGCTGATAGAATGCTTACTAAGGCATTCAATGTTACATCAACTAGATATTAGATACAGTTCTTTTATTATGGCAAAGAGGAGTGCAACACACTCACAGACCTGCCCTGGCAGACGAAAGCATTTCTGGAAAAGAGATGACAAGTACAAAAAAAAAAAAAAAAAAAAAAAAAAAAAAAAAAAAAAAAAAAAAAAAAAAAGTGGTCAGGGAAGAATTTAGTTCAAATTTAGGACCATATTTTTGCCCCTGAGGTGAATTTTTAACTAGCTATTCCACAAACAAGGTATATACCTGTATATGCTTTGAAACAACGTTCAATAAAAGGGATTACCTGACAGTGGGGAGCTATGAAACACACTATGCTTTATCAAATAATAACTTCTATTCTTGCTCCATACCAATACTATATTTTATTATATCCATGTTTCAGGTTTTCTGGCACCCACTGCATGAGCTGGATAGGTTGCTACTTTCCAAGTCTTCCCCATCTCCCATCACTTCTGGTATTTTCTGATTTTTCCACTTCTATTTCTTCTTCTTGCATTCAAAACAAATGACAAACATTTGATGCAAAATGTATCCAAATGTTTCTGATATATTTGAGATTGGCTGTCTAATAACAGCAGTGCCAAAGAAGATTGGTAATACCCACAAATATTTGACTCATGTCAAATAAAACATGAGATACTGGGTTTGTCTTGCTTACTGCCATGAACTGTTTTTCATAAAGAAGCAGAAGACAGATAAACCTAAAAACAGAGTGATGCTCACTTTTAGACAGATCTAAAATTATTTTTTGCCCTTTAGCAGAACCAAGTTTCCCTAACTAAACTATTCTTAGATGTCCATTATTATTTCTTCCAGCTTATAAATTTGTTACATTCAAAGCACCTACAAGAACAGAGGAAGGGCAAGAATTTGTTCTAGGAAAAAAGGAAAAGTCATGTTTAATAAACTTTAAACATTAGGCTTACAAATTGTGCCAGCAACGTTCCATTATCTTGTTTCGATAAACGCTGAACAGCCTGGGAAATTAAAAGAAGCTTCATGTTGCAGTGACAAAATTAAGATAGGTTTTGGTGTACCTATCAGTCAGTTGAAATGCAGACATTAACATACTAACTTTGTGGATCCTTGAATGACATAAGTGTCAAGATGAAAGCAGCTGACTCAAATGCAATCTGAATTAGAAGTGGAAAAAGAAATGGGGAAGAACTTTAAGGAACCAACCAAAAAATCTAATTTCACTTTATTTTTTTTTTCAAGGTAACACCATGACAGGATTTAAATCCCAAATGCATATAATTCCAAATGACAACACTGAACAGCAATGGCTCTGCAGCTATGATATTGTCTGTGTTACCAATCTTGCTCCTCACCATACTTTATCTTGCCTCTCTTTCCCCTCATCACCAGCAAAACACTTCTCAGGGTGCAGTGTAAGTTTCCTCTGAGGAATCTTTCCACTCCAAGTGTTAGAACAGGAAGGACTAGAGAGAGTCCATGTTTCCCTACATCTCCACCAGGCTGAAATATTTCTCAAATGCCAAAACATGCACCTGCTCATGCAGCAAGGCAGGTGAGGAGGGGACTGTGGGTCTGCATCTCATGTGACTGGACTGGTGGCAGCAAGTCTCAGCATCAGTTGGTTCTCAAGAAGAAATTCCACAAAGAAGCTCTTAACACCTCCTTCTCACACAGAACCAGACTGTCTGGTGAGTAGGAATTAGGAGACTGGGAGGGTGGGGAAAGGCAACTGTCTCTAAAAGGTCCTGCTGATACCTTGGCTTGATTTTCTGAACTATCAGCAACAGTGAAAAGTAAAACGAGAACACAGAAAAATCCATTAATCTGAATACCCTGCTGACAACCAGAACAAAACTTCCTCAGGTGGTAACACTGTACCATTACCTGATGGGAACTGCATGAGGTGCCCAAAGGCAACATCAATGGCTCATTTACAATGCAGTAAAGCATTACTGAATAGAGTGCTGTACTTCACATCACATCATTTTTGGACTACCTCAAAAGAAAAACATCAATTTTCTAAAGCTTCTGGTGTGCTCAAACCATCTCCCTGAATATAATCTCACTTCGTAGAACCCACCTAAAAATGTCAGGATCAAAGGAACTGTTCCAGATGACATGGCCTGAGGTGCAATATGAACACTAAAGGCTGGAAGTAGTTCCAGCATAACCCTGCACGATCACAGGTTGGTCACTTCTGTGATTGCAACAGAAAATTGAGCGGTTTGGAGGAGAGGATATGCTTTACACTGCATGAGTTGAACAGATGAAAATTAACCAAACAACTCCATTCTTTGACAACTATTTTTACATTTTCATCACAATATAAGAACAGGAGATTATGCCTAACATTTGGTTGATGTCTGAGGAAAAATTCACCAGTGAGTATTTCACTAACAACCGTATCTCAGAGTGCAAGATGCAAAATAACATGAATAGAGCTTGAGAGAAAAGATAAAAATTACACTGTTTTGGAATGCCAAATGTAAATACATCATTTTCAAATGAAACTGTCAAACATCTTGTTGTGGTGGTAAAAACCAAATCACTATGCAAAATGATAATACAAGAAAAGTCAATTGTATGTTTCTAATAATAAATGCTCTTGTGGCTTTTGAAGTCACAAAAAAACTCTTGGCTGAATTGAAGCATTGATTTCTGTAGTTATTTATGTGCAGTTCCTATTAGAATTCTATTGAATTCCTTGAATGGTGAATGGAAGTGCTTTTGAAAACACACACAAAAAACTGTTAAACAAGGGACAGAATAAATGGAGAGTGTCACATTGCCAAAAAGTTTCAAAAAGTCAACAGAACATTTCAACATTTTTTGAAGTGCAAGCATGTATGACATGGTTTGACAGAAAATAAGTCTAATACAAAAACAATATTCAAAATACATTTCCCCATCACTCCTGAAGAGGAAGCATAAACACTGGTATTTGCTTCTCAAATATTATTTCTAAATAACTTGCAATAATCTTGAAATTTAATATATAGTAAAACATAATTTTATTTTACAGAATTTTAAAATGCTATCACTCCATCTTTTTGTCCACTATACACCCAATATGACCTTTTACTTATTATGCATACAGATATACCCAAAGTGTATATTATGTTAATTTTGCTAAGAAAATACGGGTATTCCTACACTGCCAAAAGAAAATGTTTCACTGTGGGTTTTTCTGAGTACTAACAATAGACATTTAAGTCTGGAAAGCAAATTTTTAGAATGTAGCTTTCCGCTTACAGTAGAAAAATAATAATATTAATAAGTTTATCTTCAGAACTTCTGTATCAGCCTATTTTTATTTTAATAGAAACCACATTTGTTTTCTCTTTGAAAGTAATGAGTACTTCTAAATTAATCTTACCACAGAGTGCTCTTCAACAATTTTAGTAGTATCTTATTTTGCAGCAATTTAAAATTATTATTATTACAGCATTACTCAATACATATATTAATTTTTTTTCCTATTTTTTCCTAATTACTCATGGTACACTCATTCTGCTGAACTATAGCAACTTTGACTCTGCAGTTACACATCTTTGTCCCTAACACAATGACATAATTTGCTATCATGCAACACTATCCAATGAGGGCTGGATCTCTGGTCATATAACACATCCCAGCTTCTTGTACACAACTGCCAGGGCACACACAGTTATCATGGCACTCCACAACACAAAATATATTCAAATGAATATGAAAGACTCCAGTGAAAAAAGGCTTTTGCAGATACCAGAGCAGCTACAATAATTTCCCACAACAATCAGAATGAATCTGTTTGTCTGGCAAACAAAGGAAAAAAAAGTACTGTAAAGAGGTGGATTGGAAAATGCTTACATCAATGTAACTTAGAAATAGAAAACAGAGATTTGACAAAGTAGCTTTACTGGCAACATAAGTTCTATTCAAAGGTGGCTGAACATGAGCTGAAGTTTCAGATGTTAATCAGGTTTCTCTTTCAAGCTACTCTCTCACATACATTTCATTAGTATAATTTCTACAAAGCACTTTTATTTCTGTTTTCTCAGGACTGTGTATGCGCTTCCAATGCCAAAGAAGTTATTATCTACATCACCCTTATTCAGAGAAGGATGCTTTTTATGAAAATCCTGCAGAAAGCATCCAGCATTAATGAGCTCCCATATAGCTTTCCTGTAAAAGGAGGGAGAACATATGTAACTGGGGAGGGGACAGCACCACGATCATTAAAAGGAGGCAATGCTTCTGCTACTAACTACAACTGAGTCTTTTAATTGCTCACTTCAGTTTTATTAAATAGCTTACGGCTATCTAGAGAATTTCTAATCTTGCATTTAATTAATCTCAAGAATGAAGTTCTCCTACAGGAATTTCCTCTTGGAGGACTTTCTGTCAGATGTTCATTTTCAATCTATTTTCTAGTCCTCTACTGAGGAATTCTGTTCTAAGTGTAACTGTATGTATACATCCTTAGTGGTTACTCACACCTCATTTTCTTACTGTATGAGTCTCAATCTTTCAAGTGGCATGCTTTTGAAAGCAGCAATATTTTAATTAATACCTTTATGATGTCTGTTATTCAATTCTATACAATTTACTTAACTATTGCAAAGCTTGAACATAATCCAAAGTTTCAGCAAGCATGGGGATTGTGGAAAGTCAAATACAGCTTTACCAAAGAGAACCAGGGAAGATCCACCACACTGCATCCCTCCCCAGGCACACACTCACATGGTCACTTCCCCAAACAGATCCAGGAACTGCAGAACAAAATACTCAAATCTATACCACAAGAAAAGGGAAGAGACAATATCACCAATACTGTAAGTCTCTTAAGTAATAGCAAACCTATTAGATGAAGGTGCCAAAAAATTTTAACCACATTACACCACCCAGGAAAGCAAAGCAAAAATAATGTCTTTCCGACAACGAACTCCAAAATTATTTCCTTAGTCCAAATTTGAGTATCTAAGGCCACTTCCAGTCTGAGTAGTTTAAAAATCTGACTTACATGTTATATTTTAATATATCATACAATGAAAGGAGAAGCAAAATATTAATTAGGGAAGGGTTAAGAAAGGTAAGAAACTTTTGCCACCATTAATGTTCTGTTCCTCCTCACCTAGCTGCAT